AAAACCAGAAATATTTGTACGTTTCAAACACTCATCAAAGTAAATCCATTTTCAAATTGTTTATTAAACAACAAGAAACCCAGGTCAGATCCTAATAATTACAGACCAATATCCTTGTTACAGATGGCTATAAAGTATATGACAGTGTTACTTACATGACTCACTGCTTGGCTGGTGGAATATCAGACATCCTTTTCTAATGAACAGAAACTGGTCTTTGAACATCTTGATGGATGCCAAACAGAATCTTTCTTATAGCATGAAACGCTATACCCCAACATCGCTCAGAATAACAAAGTTTGTGGTGCTGTTCTCGACATAAAGAAAACATTCGATACTTAGAGGCACAGAGGATTTCTACTGAAACTGAAATCAAATGGAATCAATGGGAAAATACTTACCATCATTAAAACATATCTTCAGGACTTAGACGAACTCTAATGTGTAACGGGACTAAATCTCGTTGGATTGATCTGAAACGTGGATTGCGACAAGGGGCAATTTTGTCTACGTTATACTACCTTATCTTCGGTCAGGATCTACTGAACGAGTTGACTGTATCTAACTTTTAAGTGCCTTTAAATAGATTACATTGTGACAACACTACACTTGACTACGATATTACAATATTAATGCTATCTCGCCGTTCTTTACAATACCTGCTTGGCATTTGCCTCGGCTAATCTATACGATGGAAATATTAATTTAGTACTATTAAAACTGTTCTAGGTTGTTTGGTGGACGTTTCGATAGCAATAGTTTTCACTGGAGACGAAATAGAGCGAGACACATATGACACTCATGAACATCCTGGGATATTCATATCAAACTTTATTGGGGATAATAACTGTAAAATAAACCCCCTCACACATCTTAACCTGTACAGAAAGGTTGTGCTACCGTCTATATTATACAGATATGAAACATGGTATAATACTTAACCACATAATAGTGACAATCTCTCCCGATTCCATCATATCGTGGCTAAGAACATTCTAGATTTCCTTACCCGCACTCGTTCTGATATTACAAAAATCATGTTCGTTTTATCATGTATAAGTGCCGAAATTGATACACGCAATTTTCAACGTCTTATAAAACTCACAAGTAAACTTCTTACAAAGAAAGTTTTTTTTTAATACGTGGATACAAATTCCTCAGTAACGATATGTATCTCAACAAAAAGGTTTGTACCTGATCTTTATGATCTTTTACAGAAATACAACCCAATGGATCTGTTGTTTATGTCACTACACGAACGGAATTCCCATCCAAGTTATCATGGATATTAACTCTAAACCACACCATTAAAACCTAGCAAAGTAAACTATGGATTGAATGAATGAATAACCGTCATGACTTTGACAGATTCAGACGTGTCCATCACTATATACATCCACATGGACTACTGTAAAAGTTCCGCCGTATTTAGCATGTGTGCGATTTGTCTCAAAACTATTGACACACAAACCCCAAACGGAGGAACAAACACGTTAAAATAATGTGGAAAATATATAACCGACCTAATTGTCATTACGTCACACAGAGTGACGTCACCTTCTTTATCAGAGATAATAGATAATAGATGTACTGGATTAGTGTGGTATCGTAGACATTTAAATCTTTTGGATGATGACGATTTGCAAGAGCCACATCACATGATTACATCTCAGCAGAGGGCAAGACATCGAACGTGAACCGGCACGTGAACGCCACACAATCAACTGATAATGAAGAAACATTTTTGTATATATATATATTTGTTTCTTTTCATCATTTCTTTTTCATTCAACGGACTGATATTTTCCTTGTATTTATTTATTTGAATTTTGTTTCGTTTTGTTTTTGTTTTTTATTTTTTATATCTCGTTTGGAGGACGTGAAGAATGAATAAAAATTCACTAAAAACTCATGTATTATGTATTGGTATAATTAATGTATATAATGAACCTTGATGAACCTTGACATTGTAAAATTATATATATATATCTTTCGGTCTGTTGCTGTTGATGAATGATATACATGAATGTGACACAAACACCAGTAAGTGGGAAGCCATTGCTAATCTATATACTTATATATAAATATAATGATAAATCGAAACTGATATTAATGGCTTATTATCAAAAATTCCTGCATCTTAATAGACGAATTAGAATGAATTAATTCCGATATCCTAACCCTCATTAATCTATAATCAATCATTCCTTTTTCATATGAAGTGTACTGATAGTTTACGATAGGATTAATAATAGCCAACGCCTGTTGAAATAACCTTATATAAAAGTGAGAAAGACAAAAAAAAAACAAAGAAAATCCGGACATATGAACAGAACCTTACGAAAATTCAAATTCAGTAAAAGTACTTGAATATTTTTAAAAATTTGTTTCTTTCAGAGATTGAAAGTGTGAAAGATGGTACTTGTGATCGTTGTGTGTCTAGATCGCAGTTGAAGCCGAGAACCCCGTATTGTTTTAGTGCCAATTGCTTTCACGACCTTTTTAATCTATATACCGTTCATGTCATATTTGTTTTCTTGATATAAGGAAGGATTCCAAATCTGCAGAACAATGTGGAAAAGAAATAATAGTTCGGGCAAGAGATTCACAGTATGTTCATATGTGTATTAGGAGTTGTTTGCTGTCCCTAACTCAAGAGTAAGCAATCAGTCAGAATGCCACTAAATGTCATATTTACTTCGTCAATATACTTAATCTTTATCTCTTTCTCTCCTTTTTAATATGAAATAAGTCCTTGTATGATGTATCTATTTACCTAAAATATTTTCCAGAGAAAAACAAATTCAAAATAAACCGATTTGATATGAAGTATGTAGATGTGGTGCAAGTTCTAGGTCTAGTTCTGTTTATACTTTAGAATCACAGACGCAATTTAGTTATAATCTTACTTCCGATTTTTGTTTTGTGTTTGTGTTTTAGACAAATAACTAAAATGGTATTAAATTATGACCTTCATATTGTTATTTTGTGTCAATATTTTGTAGTAAGATTTGCTGATAATTTTGCTTAATTCTCTTGACGGCAGGTGGTAGAAAAGCCGGCACCGCTGCAGGAGCTACACTGTAGGTAGATTTTATAACGTTTAAACCCGTGTTGTTTGTCTGTGTATAACCTATGTTACATTGACAAAACAAGTAAACACTAATGACTTTGACCTTTCTCTAGTTTTTTCAATTGTTTCTTTAGTTTGTTGATTTCAAAAAATAAATATCTTGTTATCGTCATAGACCGTCGAATCAAATTGTAATGAGAGGAATAGAATTTTCAGAAGGGCAACATAATCAATTCTATCATTGTAGAATTTGATATAAGAAAAGGAGAAGCAAAGTGACAAGTGTAATGGGTCGTCAAGTAAAAGCATCATTCCCAACTGACTTTTAGTTCGCTGAGTGAATGTGAAACATGAGTACATGAATATATATAAAAAGTTGTGCAACCAATCCATTTTAAATTATAAAGGCCAGTGTTAACTTCTGTTCATCCACTCCAACCTTTCACATCTATTGAGAATTGAAAATAAAACTTGGGGTCAATTTGGTATTACTGATTTTGATAGATAAAGATTCATAAAGTAGATATCATCGAAGCAGCAGAGGAGTAATATTCTCATATATTTTCAGTAAATCTTTGTTTTGTTTATATTTAACACTAGTTTCATCTAAGCTAGGTTTTAAGTAAAAATCTGTTGGCATGTCGACATCTGCGTTGTTGTTGTTGTTGTTGTTGTTGTTGTTGTTGTTGTTGTTGTTGTTGTTGTTGTTGTTGTTGTTGTTGTTGTTGTTGTTGTTGTTGTTGTTGTTTTGTTGAACATGTGTGTTGTTTATTTTGCAAGCTTTTAGTTGATGACTTCTTCAGTTCAATTGGATAGAGTATATGATAACGTTTTGAAGAATTCTGTTGTTTAATCTTTACACTTTTAGAAATTCGGATGAAATGATTTTTACTGAATGACTTTATGAGGTGATTAATAAAATGTGATCAAGTGTAAAATTTGAAAATTTGTGCCTAAAAATAGGTCTTGAGATACAGGTATTTTTTCATTTCTACGTTCATGATATAAATGTTCTTACATTCATTCCTGTTCATATGAGAATTATTTTTCACAAAGTCATGTGATATGGAAACGAATGTAAGTTTTTGTTTATATATGATTTTTTTTGCAAACCATGTAGACTGATACCATATCAAAATCGGCGATGTTGTCATTCTATTTACTTTTAGGATGACGTCGCATTGCATATGACACCTAAACCACAGGCGTAACCATGACAATATTGAGCCCATCACTGCTCCGCTAGGATATATTACATTTCACACTTGTATAAGAACAAAGAAATATGCAATGATTGCTATTACATTATAAACAGTGTAATATTTTGATAAAACTTTTCTTGTCATCATATGTCTTCTTTTCTATTATTCATTTGTAATATCCATTTTCTCGCACTTGGTAAGTTACATCGACTGGGTGATAAGCTGTTGCTTGCTACGACATAACTGATAATCGTGATACGGCATTCAGGCTCGTTATAAACGATATGACTAAGCCAGATAACAACATATTACTCGCTATATTTGACATGCTCGCCAGCACAATAACATTGATTGATGAAATGCAATCTATATTACATCATTGAATGAGGAAGTGCATGACAGTTATGCGTCAATGTTTTCAGTTTAAATTTTCGTGTGGAGAAATATGATCTTAAACTTTAACGATGATTTAATAGTAAATGACGAATTCCAAATTATTACCGAATCTTACAACAAGTAGAAACACATCAAAACACATACCAACTTATAACCCCGCAGGATAATTAAATTCGCGAGATTTTTTAATGGAAATTCAATTGATGGTCATGTTACTATGATAAGTTTATCAGTGTGATACAAAACAAATGAGAACAGTCTCAAAAAATAAAGTATTGACATGGTCTTTTTCTGTTGACTGGTGTTTCGAAATTTAGAAACAACCTTGATTATAAGTTGCATAGTTCAGACATAAGCACCGGTTCCGTATGACTGCAGGTTATACTCCCATCCTTGTTGCATAAGCATTTGTTTTTTTCATCCAAAGAGTTCAATTCTTCTCCCGGGAAGTAGCCTTTCTTGTCGTAAGCACATACCTCACCTAAAAAGATAATTGAACATCTTTTAACAAAAGAAATATAAAGCCATAGCGATATAAAGCGTATGACAAGAGATGCAGGGTACGTCATTAATTGTTGTAGTTTGAAAGTTCACAACAAAAACGCATACATAGAGGTGCATGCTTTTACAGATAAACGACCTTTTTGTTTATAAATTTGTTTGAAAGTTATTGAATATAGATTAACTGTAAATGATTTTTAATTTAAGTTCTAATTATGTCAGAAAAATGTTGATCCAATGGCAGGAACTGATAGACTGTAAAGTTCGCCGTATTAATATTATGAATCACTTTTTAACATTTTGATGTGTCAATGAAACTAAATTGACTCTAAAACAGATCTTAAACAAGTAATTTGTCGAGCCATGTAAAATTTGGAATTGGGGGTGTTATCGATGAACGAGAAAATAATTAGCTTTCTAAAACACCTCGCTGTATTCTCCATCGCCTTGTTCGGGGGGGGGGGAGGCAGGGGGTCCATTAAAATCTCCTATGTTCAGACTTTGCCTTAGTTTCATCAAATTTGAATTTTGATTGTAATTCTTTTGACATGCCGACATTTTCCGAACGAAACGGATGAGGATTCCTTTCTTGAGATATGTTTGTAGATCTTTACCGAGATATTGAAAAACATGCTGAAAGGTTGCAGCTGTCATTTTAGCTCACCTGGTCTCTCCGTCCGGCGTCCATTTAAACGACTTCTTGTCAATAAGCAGAATTACTAAAGTAATGATATTTGAGTAACAGGTTCATTGGATAATGCCAAACAAAGTTTGAAAAAAATAACCTTGATCCACTTGCAAGATCACGGGTGTCATATTTGTGAAAACATTAAAACGACTTCTTCTGATGAACCAAAAGGCTACGGAGGATGAGAATGGCAGGTAAGTCTCTCAGATTTCAAACTTGAAAACAATTGCGTCAACAAGATTACTTTGACACTTGAAGTACAATATTTGACATTTACGTCTCTGTAACGAAGCCCGAAAAGGTTTGCAAAATATGATCCTGAACCATATTCAAAATCACAGAGTTAAAATTTACTAAAATGTCTACAATACTTTTTCCGGTTAACTAAAAGTCCGAAAAGCAGAACATCTGTTGTAAACGTGTTTCCAGGTCGAGGCCAAACAAATATCGAGGAAAAAGAGGGGAAAAAGAAACAAAAAAGAAAATTTTCCCTGTAATCCAGGTAATAACTGTAAGTGTATAGAGCTGAGTGTTAGAACCTTTTAAGTTTCTTGTAGAAACTGGTCAAAATTGGTTAGATGTCCCAACGTTGAATGATAATGGTGCACGTGGAAATATATTTATTATGAACATTAATTGTATTTTTAATGGCTAATGAATACTAGCCGAGTGATGCAAGCCCATTGATATTTTCGTCTAAATTTCTTCAAAAACGAAATGATGTGATGTATTGATATTCTTCAGACAAAACATAAAAAAGTTCTGTCATAAAACATTAAAGTTCTGTCCCAAAAACACATACAAGGTCTGTCACAAAAACACATGAAAGTTCTGTCACAAAACACATGGAACTTCTGTCACAAAACCACATAACAGTTCTGTCACAAAACATTAAAGTTCTGTCAAATGAAAGTTCTGTCACAAAACACATGAACGTTCTGTCACAAAACACATGAAACTTCTGTCACAACAAAACATTAAAGTTCTGTCACAAAAACACATACAAGGTCTGTCACAAAAACACATGAAAGTTCTGTCACAAAACACATGAACGTTCTGTCACAAAACACATGAACGTTCTGTCACAAAACATGTAAAAGTTCTGTCACAAAACACATGAAAGTTTTTTCACTAAAGCACATAAATGTTTTATCACCAAAACACATAAAAGTTCTGTCCATACTTTATAAACCGTAGGTGATTATAACATAGTCACTTGTCAATATATGTCAAAGCTTGTCATAATGAAGTCGTTAACTATCAATGTATGTGGGTAATTACAACATTGTAAAACAAATGATATGATACACCTGTTCTACTTTCATTACGCCTAGACGCCATCAAATAAAACACCAAATTCACACCATTACATAGCCCCAAGCATTTTTCGCCGTGTTTTATTTGCATACAAGTCTCCCTAAAATAGAGATTCATGTTTTCATTATTAATTTATTTGGGTTCTTAGATCAGTATCATATACACATCTTTATGCTGATGGAAACATTATTTCTGGTGGATAAATATGTAAAGAATAGAATATCAAAGTATAAGAAACAGAAGTAATTAATTGTTCATATCATCGGACGGACAAACGCTAGAACAAACAGAAGCTGAATCGACTTTGTTGGGATAGCGTCCAACATTTTGCATTTTGTTGTTATATAATTTACGATTTGTATCAATGTTTTAAGGATAAGTGTTCCTGTCCTTACCCTTTTATTCAGTTATTTATGTAAACCTAACTTGAAGGGCTAAGAAATAAAATATTTCTTACTGATAATTCAATCTTTTACCTGCTGTTGATACCTAAGAAAGACATATTTATGTTTCGTGCTGATAATATTTTAACTATTTTTTGTCCTCTTCTCCTACAATGATTACAATAGTTAAGGCTACCTGGACAGACACGGCATCGTCCATCAGCTGTTATCTCTGTGCTGCATTCCTTCACTTCTGGACACAAGTTATCGAAGAACATACAGTTGCTGCAATTCCTCCTGTACGACGGTATACAGACTGCCACGAGTCCCGAGGCTTCCTGGGGTAAACCTCCACAAAATTCGATGCAGTCACCATATTTGTTCATTTGCATATCTGAATTGAAAAATAAAACGTAAAACTCTACTACGATATAATATAACACATCATAAAGTGGTCTGAATATTGAGACATATCAGAGAATTGAGAAATGATGGAAAATAAAAAGGTGACTCGATGTCTTTAAACGGAACTCTGCCTCCTTGCAAAAGAACTTTTGATGTGACTGAACAACATTTCTCTTTTACTTCATTTTCTTTTCCTACCAAAATTACTTTTTGAAGACAAACAATATTTATAAATACAAACATATCTAACTGCGCCATCAAAAGGGGAAGATTTTTTTTTTTAATTAAATGATGTTTTCGACTAATAATGAGTTACAATATATATTTTAATTTCCTTAAATTGTTGTTTATTAAAAATTAAACAGGAGATCGACTCATTCAACAATTGTTAGGGAACCGATTAAACTATTTCAGGATTATTATATCACTTCACGTATGTATGTATATCATTTTGTTTGTCACACAGTAGTGCAGTTTGTTGTACGCTGCTACCTTGAAATTGACAATTAACAGTGAAATAAAAAAAAATCATGATGGAAAGAATACCTTTGAAATTGATATGGTCCGTTTTTATCCCTCCAAAAATTACTGTGAGTTGTTCAGCTTGATAGTATACATAGTGCTTCCTTATCTATCTAGGCAGTAAAGCATTAAATTTTAGTAAGCCCCCATTTTGAACCACATAGCATCGAAACCTTACAAAGAGAGAACAGATTTAGTGTTATTTATGTCATTTTAGTTCTCCTTTCCTACTTTTTATTTATACAAAGGTTTTGAGTAAAGTTAACATGACATAAAATATACAGGTTTTTCTGTCTGTTTCAGTTATATCAATGTCCGTTTTAGAGTGCAATAAGTGTTGCAATACATTTGGATTTTTCACTTCGTGCAAAATAAACATACATTGATACATAGATTCAATCTTTGACACTTCAGATGCATTGTCAGAACAAAACATCATGTAATATTTAAAGGCAGTAAAAAAATCCCTGTCTTTGAGGACCACTCGAGGGAACAGAAAAGTGTGACCTAAACGGCAGCAATGTTCATTATTGACAGGTATTTGTTTTATACAAGTACGAATGTAAGCTTTAAAGATATACATTGTAATTTATAATTTGATAAACATGGAAACTGTACCTTAATGGACCTTGATAGGTAAATTACACACCTACATAGAGCAAATCAGGTAACAATATGAAATATCGTTTTCAATATATAGTTACCATTAACTGTCCAAGATGGTACCCAAGTGAATTTGAATCATATTATATATTTTATCGTAGTATAATGGTAATTTTATATTTACAGTTGCTTTTGTGTTTTTAGAAAACGAAACGTTTTAATATTGTCGCTTGTATTTATGAAAGAAACATTCATTCCTAAAGTTAAAATTTACCTGGAGAAAGCATTTCATAAGCTAAGAAATTTCCTAAAAGCTAAATGTTCCTGAACTTAGGTAATGCTTTCCGATAGTAATCAAGATTTTCAAAAGTTAAGGAAAGTTCTTGAAACTTGGGTTAGTACGTCTGCGCTGTGGTATATTTATAAACTGGACAAACACATATAGCATGTGTATCCTGTCACTGTTTGGAGATACTATAACTATACTATGAACCCTCCAGTGCATTGAAAATATCCAGATCAAAGAAACAAAATGGTTTTGTGGATAGCACGAGTGAATAGCAATTTTCTATACAAATCAATAATGAGATACAGTAGGCTTAGATAGAACTCTTCGGAAATGCTCTGGATCATAATCGTGTGATGGTAAACGAGAAAAAAACAGATATATCGAAAGTAACATTAAAAACGTTTTTGTCCTCCCAGCTCGAAAGATCGGAGACATATTAGTTTTGTGCTGTTTGACTTTTTTCAACTTAAACCTTGCCCATAACTATTGCACCGTAATAGGCAGGGTTTTTATACATGTGCGTTCTTTGTGATGAGGCCTTACTGGTGGTACCAAAACGATTGACAATGTGAAGTTGACCGTGACCTTTGACTTACATTTGAAAGTAAACAAGATGATTACCACAATGAAGACATAAGTGTTTCACGATGTGTGCATGAAATTAGCACATGACTTACACAGTACAGTTTGAATGTCCCACTTCAGAATTTTGTCGCGTGTGGGGGCATAGTGTTTCAGAGACCCATCTTGTATCCTTATGATTTTCAATTTCAAGAAGTATAATCATAAACATACGACAATTTGAACGAATTAAAACGAGGTGTGCAGATTACAGCGAGTGTGGTGGACTTAGGTCTATCACCAGCATTATCGAAGGTTGGACAAAACGTGTTTTGCCCATTGTTCGCATTGGATCACTGGAATGTAGGAATGTATTTATCGCAGTTGGTTCTCATACAATCAACTACGTTCGGTGAATAATTGGATGACACAGGCATTAAATTAGTAAGATCTTATCAAAGTTCAAATTCTGCTGACATCGTCATCACGACTATAGTACAGACATGGATTCCATTTGCATACTGAACTGGCTTGTAATTAATCACTCCTGTCTGTCTTTTTTCTAAATTTATGAAGATCGTGATGACCGGCTGTGTCTTACATAATGAACACGATGACAGTAAGATATACGATTGAAGACAACATTGTTGTTATCTTTGAATTATATATTCGTGTCATCGATGTGATGCAAATATTACCAGATTATTCTTAAATGAATCAGAAATGAACTGATCTGTTGTGAACAAATACAATCGATGTAAGTGATGCATGAATGAATTATTGAAACAAGCATTCGTCAGTGTGCTTTCTGTGAACTATTATTTTTTCATAAACGAGATCAAATATATGCCTGATTATGCAATACTTTTCCGACAACACGTCATCTGAAAGATGGCTCTTGCATAGCAATAGAACATTGCAAGGTTGATAAATTCAGTGCCTGGAGCATATGGTCATTTTATACGAATTATAGAAAATATTTGAAGACGTTGCCCCATATCTATGAATAAATTTCTCATGCCTCATTACGATGTATCATAAATGTTTTATTACATAAATGTGTTTAAGTGGCTGTAGTAACACTTCAGCTGGTCACAATTGGTCTAAACTTAAACTATTGAAATAATATATATATATATATATATATTCGTGACATATCACATTGAAAATAAATGGCTGACTTTTAATACAGTAGTTCAAACATTTCACTACACGAATAAATTCATTATATTTTATCACCTTTATTTCTTATTGTTGTATGTTACTCTAGGGTAATTGTTTTGATGCGTAAAATGCATAATATAATAAATTTTGTTCATATTTTGCACAAGTTGTTTTGAGTTCGGATAATGATTATAATTGTATTTTCTTGGGATTTTTTCCCTCTAGTTTTATTGAAGTTGCGTTTGAATTATAATATTCATATGAAGGTATATTCTTGTTCTTTTTTATCTTGTTCAATCATTCCATTGTCTTAGTATATATAGAATAACTCCTCATGACTTTACACGAACTTGTCGTAATGTTATGGCGGGGATTATACAACACTTCTTACGATCATATGTAAAACAGTTTGTATACAATATGTTTATTGTCAATGGCTATTTTCTTTAAACGTTAACATTTCGCTGAAGGACGTATTTCTAGAGATTTTCTGGCCTTTATTTGCTTCTTTGTCATTTAAAATTCATTTTCGTATCTTCATTAAAAACGTTTATGTAAATCATGTGTTAAAATCAAAATTATTTTGTTTGATGTTATTTCTATTTTATATTTTTTGAAATTTAAATTTGATATCTTCAATGCAATCAGATATTTTAACATATCTCATATATAAAAAAACGATAACAGTTTGATCTGAAATACAAGATAAATGATTATAAAGCAATCACAACTTGATGAACTCGAACAAGTGTTCTTTATAAAACGAACATGAAACAAACGTTTGAGATTGGTTTGAAACAGTTTTAGGAATACCGTAAATGTTTTTTATGATTAAAATTCTTGGTCATTCACGGAAAAGAAGAGTAAAATGGGTGTATTTTACTGGAAGCTATCGCATGGTTTTTTATGACAATTCTAATATTAATGTATATCTATATTTAGTTAATTTATTCCGAAACATTAAAGCACCTGTTTGTTAACGTAGACTGCTGATGCTGTTAGGAACACTAGGTATGATATCTGATAATATCGAACGCAGCAAAATATTGATCGTGGAAATCCAATGTGGGTCAAGAAGTCAATAAAACATCTACTGGTTTGACTCAGAGGGCTGGATCGCTGGAGCAGAATGATCGCCGTTTTTCCGACATGGTTACTCATAAGAAGTAATCTTGACCTACGAATTATCAGTGTTAATCATCAACAAAAACACCTGTTTAAGCCTTCTAATTAAATGTATATTCGAAAATATTTGAAACGTGTTCTTTAGTAAATTTGTCGGTGAAATTTCCAATCAGGAAAACAGATATGTTTCAGCTGTTGTTATATATACAAAACTGCAGAAAGACTATGAAATTTTAAAAAAATCATGATTAATTCCTAAATATATGGTTATCAGTTTTAAAGTTTAGGTCTACTTACTTCTGTACATTACATATTTAATCACTCGGTCGGTCGCTGGGTCATGTTAAGTCCATTTTACACGTTAGCAGCCAAACTCTATCTAATACACAAGTACATAACATATTTTGAAGTGATATTTAAACCTAATGCACAAAGGGTAAGAAAGACCGTGAACGCAGAATTTTACAGTTGCAAGCAGACCGCAAACAAGAACACGTTGTGTGAGACTACGGCTGTCATGTCGTGGTAATCTATCGGTTAGTTATCATTTTTTTCGAGTTAGTGGTTTCTAAAAAGACTGACGTTGTTGTGGGCGTCAACGAATTACGTCAGTACCGGAACATGCCATTGACGTTACATATTTTGCAGCCACGATGACAACAAGGAAGATGTCTGGATGTCCTAAGATCAGTTCCAACATCGCCCAGTGTCGTCGTCGCAGAACAGATGTCCTGGCCTGTGGACAAGTGTTGACATTGCGACACAGACAAAGACGTCTACATTCCTGAAACAATAACCGACATCGTATTTTGTGGGGACTGGCTTTGTATTCACTTATCAAAGTCGATGTTACGACAAACAGGGTGATGAATATTTCACGTGTTTAGCGAACTCAAGGAGGATATAATGCCTTGAAGAGAATAGGTTGGACAATGCTTCTGATTTGAGGCGTGATTGTGTATAGAACACGCACCCAGCGTGCATTTCAAACTTTCCGATATGGTGGGCCTGAACATGGAACAGTAAGTTACGTTGATCAAGTGGTTCCTACGACAAGACAAGGGGAAGCAACATGAGTAAGGATATCCTAACACTTCCTGCGTACAAATGACATCCCAGTAGTGGATTAACAAGCCCTTTCGTGAGATATGGCTCCTATAGAACATATGTGGGGTGAGCTCGAAAGACGAATTCCGAGTAGGTTGCCATCAGTGAATTGCAGGAGACGTCAGAATCAGAGTGGAACAACAAGATCCAGACGCCCAGATTGGATTCGATGACAAGGAGGTGTGCTGCAGTGATTGTTACCAACATGATACAAACGAGCTATTGGGGCTTCTAACATTTGTGCGGGATGTGACGCTGACCACATCTCGTACAGCGACTAAGTAACGTCATGTGGTGTTGCATTGCAGACAAAATGTTGCGTTTTTTTTTTGTTTCGATAAGACATTGACAACAATGGATTAAACTTTATTTTGATAGTTATTTCACCAAATAAAGTACTGTTAAACTGTTATTAAATGTTATTTTAAGTGATATACGATTGTACGACAAAGTCTGATAAAACATGTTTGGTATGACGAATCTTTAAACGCTATAATTTAGAATAAAGGGAATTCCGTTTATCTTTGTAACCTACACTCATAATGCATTAAATTACCCATCACCAAACTGACACTCTGCCCTACAATGAAATTACATTTTTTACTTTGTCAAAGCAATAAATGCAATTAATTTGCTCCCATTTAAGTGCGTGTTCAATTTATGAAAAACCGTAATCTTGAATGTTCTGAATTGAAAATCAAGAACATTAATAAGGTCATATTGATGAGTTCACTTATATCCAGACAGGTGTTTCGTAGTTTTAATGAGTATTGGTATTCTGGACGACTCCTAAAAATCGTGTGTCCATGATAGTAAGCTTATTGTTTAAATATAAACTGTCCGACATATTCATGTGTAAAAAATGGGACCCATCATTCTTATCTTAATATTATAAAGTTATCTGTTTTTGCAAACGTCTCATTCTCGTTGATGTCTTTGGTGCTCTTTATCATGAAACAAAATGTCCAAGAATTGATTGTATATCACGAATTGATAAAAACAAAGTGGATTTCAAGACAGAGTACTGTTTATCAGCAAAAGTAAGCGCCAGTGAAAGATTTTTAAAAACTCAGAATTTTAAACCCACGAAAATGTTACAGTAAAAAGCTAATTAATAATTAACTATATGTAATTGAGATAAGCACGTGCTATAATGCTATCTTTATCAGATAACAAATATATTACAAATCATTGCTGGTGGTGTCTTTGTTTAACAACGAAGAAACATTTAATCAAATAAGGAGCGATGCAAGACATACTTATTAAGATACTTACACACAAACCCAAATAGAGCACACATGAACGCAATGTTGACAATAACCGAGTGAACCATCTCGATAGTTTAATGGACTGCCCTGAAAAATCAAACGTAAATAAAACTGTCACTTGAATTATTAACATTGTAAACACAAAGTCAGGACAAGGTCAACATTGAAAAACTTGATGATTGAAAATAATAGGTAATTTTCTCTGATTTATAATTTTTATAATATGACTCGAACAATCATGAGCAGCGCTAATACAATGATCATTTTCATGGAAAATTGCGAACATCCACAATAATAGTAAAAACTAGTAAATCGCATATTGTGAACATGGTAATTGATATTAGTATTATACAGTCTTCTGTGAAACACATAAACATTTGTATGTAAGCTTCATTAAATATAACATATAACAGATTTCGCCGGAAATCAATCGGGACACGTTTATATGAGAGAGATAATATTCTCTTGCGTTCATGTAAACTTTTATAAAGTCTATTTTACACATAACATTAATACTTATTAATAAACAGAAATCACCTAATCCGCTTGTTGTAAAGTGAATTCACCAAATATGTGTTTTTTCCGGATATTTCATAAATGAAACATAGCCTAGAGCACTATTCATAAAAATAACGTATATATTTTAAATAACCTGTTAAACCGACACACAATATCTTATTTATGATAATGCTCACCAAGGCTTGCAAAAATAAAACGAAAATCTAAGACTCGTTTGATAAAACATCATATGAAATGAAAATAACGTATATATTTGAAATCACATTGTAACAAAATACGCAATTTCTCATCTATTATAATATGCACAGCAAAGTGACACACGAATCCAATGAAAAATGAAAAATGTTTAATTCATGTTATTTATGACGTCATAAGCATGTCCCGTTTAACTAGAACGGCAATTTAGCTTTTTTTCTTTTCATTATAATTATTTACGTCCCCGTAAAATGCGTTTTGTAGACATTTTTTAACAAACCATTGATACATAATAAAGAGATATAAGTACATAATCATACTTATAAACCGTAGATAACGAATAGTCATTTGATTCCATTGAACACCTACCTGATCAATGAGAACTGCAAGATGTTGCCTTCTCAAAGCTGTACGGAGCAATGCTGATTTCAATTCTGTTTTTGTAATTAAAAGACAATAATGTAACAGGAAGCAGCCATCAAATAATCTACAACCTGTCAGTTTATGTCCTTCTCCAAGTTTATGACATTTATTGTATAAACTTAAAGCATACTAAACTAATAAATGTGTGGACAAGAGGCGTTGGATCCAGTGATAAATTACAACGCCATGACAGGTACATCCCTACCATTTAACACCATACTGGTTTACAATTTCAGAGAGGCAATAATTTGATCATTTGTGTTCCCAATAAAAAGTCAAATCATGACTTCTGACTCATGATAAACGTCACTTTGGAAATGCTTTATTTAATTATCAAAACTAGGTATCAAACATTCTCGTTCCAGCAATGTAACGCCACATTTCATTGGTTAATCATAATGTACATACAGATATGATAAAATTTGTATGAATTTTATTAACTTTTTACAAATTATTTAATGAATCTCAAGTCTTTCCGTGTGGCAAATGTAGGACATAAGACGCGCGGAATCGATAGAATAAACTTTTGCACGCGCACAGGAGCATAGGTTTAATAACTCAATGATTGGGGACATAGGTTTAATTACTTAATGATTGGTGATATAGGTTTAATTACTCAATGATTGGGGACATAGGTATAATTACTCAATGATTGGGGACATAGGTTTAATCACACAATGATTAGGGACATAGTTTAATTACTTAATGATTGGGGACATAGGTTTAATTACTTAATAATTGGGGACATAGGTTTAATTAATCAATGATTGGGGACATAGGTATAATTACTCAATGATTGGGGACATAGGTTTAATTACTTAATGATTGGGGACATAGGTTTAATTACTCAATGATTGGGGACATAGGTTTAATTAATCAATGATTGGGGACATAGGTTTAATCACACAATGATTAGGGACATAGTTTAATTACTTAATGATTGGGGACATAGGTTTAATTACTTAATAATTGGGGACATAGGTTTAATTAATCAATGATTGGGGACATAGGTTTAATTACTTAATAATTGGGGACATAGGTTTAATTAATCAATGATTGGGGACATAGGTTTAATTACTTAATAATTGGTGACATAGGTTTAATTACTCAATGATTGGGGACATAGGTTTAATTACTCAATGATTGGGGACATAGGTTTAATTACTCAATGATTGGGGACATAGGTTTAATAACTCATAGGTTTAATAACTCAATGATTGGGGACATAGGTTTAATAACTCAATGATTAAGGACATAGGTTTAATAACTCAATGTTTGGGGACATAGGTTTAATTAATCAATGATTGGTGACATAGGTTTAATTACTCAATGATTGGGGACATAGGTTTAATTACTCAATGATTGGGGACATAGGTTTAATTACTTAATGATTGGGGACATAGGTTTAATAACTCAATGATTGGGGATATAGGTTTAAAAACTCAATAACTTAATTAATCAATGATTGGTGAAATAGGTTTAATTACTCAATGATTGGGGACATAGATTCAATTACTCAATGATTGGGGACAGGTTTAATTACTCAATGATTGGGGACATAGGTTTAATTACTTAATGATTGGCAACATAGGTTTAATTACTTAATGACTTGGGACATAGGTTTAATTACTCAATGTTTGGGGACAAAGGCTTAATTACTCAGTGATTGGGGACATAGGTTTAATCACACAATGATTAGGGACATAGTTTAATTACTTAATGATTGGGGACATAGGTTTAATTACTTAATTACTTAATGATTGGGGACATAGGTTTAATAACTCAATGATTGGGGACATAGGTTTAATTAATCAATGATTGGGGACATAGGTTTAATTACTCAATGATTGGGGACATAGGTTTAATTACTCAATGATTGGGGACATAGGTTTAATTACTCAATGATTGGGGACATAGGTTTAATAACTCATAGGTTTAATAACTCAATGATTGGGGACATAGGTTTAATTACTCAAGGTTGATTAAGGACATAGGTTTAATAACTCAATGTTTGGGGACATAGGTTTAATTAATCAATGATTGGTGACATAGGTTTAATTACTCAATGATTGGGGACATAGGTTTAATTACTCAATGATTGGGGACATAGGTTTAATTACTTAATGATTGGGGACATAGGTTTAATAACTCAATGATTGGGGATATAGGTTTAAAAACTCAATGTTTGGGGACATAGGTTTAATTAATCAATGATTGGTGAAATAGGTTTAATAACTCAATGATTGGGGACATAGGTTTAATTACTCAATGATTGGTGACATAGGTTTAATTACTCAATGATTGGGGACATAGGTTTAATTACTTAATGATGGGTGACATAGGTTTAATAACTCAATGATTGGGGACATAGGTTTAATTACTCAATGATTGGGGACATAGGTTTAATTACTCAATGATTGGGGACATAGGTTTAATTACTCAATGATTGGGGACATAGGTTTAATTAATTGGGGACATAGGTTTAATTAATCAATGATTGGGGACATAGGTTTAATTACTCAATGATTGGGGACATAGGTTTAATTACTTAATGATTGGGGACATAGGTTTAATTACTTAATGATTGGGGACATAGGTTTAATTACTTAATGATTGGGGACATAGGTTTAATAACTCAATGATGGGGACATAGGTTTAATTACTCAATGATTGGGGACATAGATTCAATTACTCAATGATTGGGGACACAATGATTGGGGACATAGGTTTAATAACTTAATGATTGGGGACATAGGTTTAATTACTTAATGATTGGGGACATAGGTTTAATAACTTAATGATTGGGGACATAGGTTTAATAACTCAATGATTGGGGACATAGGTTTAATAACTCATAGGTTTAATAACTCAATGATTGGGGACATAGGTTTAATAACTCAATGATTAGGGACATAGGTATAATAACTCAATGTTTGGGGACATAGGTTTAATTAATCAATGTTTGGGGACATAGGTTTAATTAATCAATGATTGGTGACATAGGTTTAATTACTCAATGATTGGGGACATAGGTTTAATTACTCAATGATTGGGGACATAGGTTTAATTACTTAATGATTGGTGACATAGGTTTAATTACTCAATGTTTGGGGACAAAGGCTTAATTACTCAGTGATTGGGGACCAAACAGTCAGTAAGGTTGATATAGACAAAACAGTGTTTTTCTAGGGATGAGATGAATCTATTTCAAATAGGGTAGGGAAAGACAGTTGGCTTGCGCTATGACGCTACCAACAATCGCGTGACATCATCATTTTCATTAGATATTCATGATAGCATAATAATTACACTCGGCAAACTTCATGCTGTCCAGTTGAACTCTCACATTCAGCAAGCTTCTTTCTGTACAAACAAAATTTTACACTTGGCAAGCTTCATGCTGTCCATTCGAACTCTTACGCTCGGCAAACTTCGTGCTGTCCAGCCGAAATCTTACATTCGGCAAACTTCGTGCTGTTCTGTCGTACTCTTACACTCGACAAACTTCGTGCTGTTCATCCGAACTCTTACCTCGGCAAACTTTGTGCTGTTCTGCCGAACTCTTACACTCGGTAAACTTCGTGCTTTCCTGCCGAACTCTTACATTCGGCAAACTTCGTGCTTTTCTGCCGAACTCTTACTCTCGGCAAACTTCGTGCTGTCCAGCCGAACTCTTAACCACGGGTCAAAATATCCACGGAAAAGATCCATCTGCAATTCATCCAATCCGTGGAATCTGTACTATTTCTACGTCACACCTCACTAATGTGTAGAATACTGTATGTATAGTGCTTGATTAACCACAATGTAAACATGTAAATATCTTACGTATTAATCAATCTAATCTGTGAAATCTCCGTTGTACATAGAATACTACGTTGATTTATGCTTG